ACAATTTATCACTAATGTTGTTTGTCTAGTTGGCATTTAATCGGATTAGATTAGCATAAGACCCTAATCACCCCCCCTCTAGGGTCTAACATATACCATAACAGAATGGTGTTACTGAAAGAAAGAACAAAACATTACTGAATATAGTTAGATGTATGTTGTCTCATTCTAATCTCTCTAAAAACTTTTGGGGAGAAGCATTATTAACTGTAAACTATATTCTAAATAGAATTCTCACCAAATCAATTGTATCTACACCTTATGAATTATGGAATGGAAGGAAACCTAATCTGAGTCATCTCAGGAAGTGGTGATCTATAACTCATGTTCTCATTCCATATCAACTTAGAGATAAGTTGGATTTTAAAACAATAAAGTGTAGATTCATAAGGTATTCAGAAATGTCAAAATGTTATAAGTTCTACAATAAAGAAAGAGGGGTTATTAAAAACAGAGATGCTACGTTTCTAGAGAACTTAGAGGAAGAGGAACAAGTTCAAGAGGAAATAAAATCTCTAACTATAATAGATGATGATTATTACGGTGTTGTTCCAACTAATGACCATGATATTATGAATGAACCTAACATTGAAAATGATAAAATACCCGTGGAAAATAATGTACCCCATCAACCGGTTATAGGCAACAAAAAATCAAGAACACAACCTTCATAGATGAATGATTACTATTTGTATTCATGTGAGCCATCCTGTTTCTCGGTATATACATATAGAAGAACAAGATCCCTTAATTTTCTCTGATGCTATAAAATCGCATGAATCAGCTTTATGGCTAGAATCCATGAGAGAAGAACTTGATTCTATAGAAAAGAATAAGGTATGCGAGTTATGGGGTCTACCGGAAAATAGAAAAGCCATAAGATGCAAATGGGTGCTTAAAAAGAAATATCATGTTGATGGATCTATTGATAAATTTAAAACACGGTTATGTAGGCTGTCTAAAAATCACAATAGATAGCTTATCCCCCATCAAACACCGATGATGGAAGTTATAATCTGACGACTTCAAGAAGGTTACAATTTGAAGACTTTCACGTAGATCGCTGAAGGTTACAATCTGACGACCTTCACGACAACCAATGAGAGCTCTAGTTCAACAGTCTTCACAATCTACAGTGAAAGTTACAATCTGACGACTTTCACACTCCACAACAGCTAAAGCTAGGATTACTGAACAACGGTCCTTGCAACGCTCTGTAGAAGAGGTTACAGATCAACTAACCCCTTTTAAAACACGAAAGTCATCCCCGCGTTACAATTCTGGAAGTGCAGGCGACCCCGTGTTTCCAAGCTATAACAAGTCAAACACGAACGACCCTCGCGTTCTTGAGGTTCAACCAACACCCGACCCCAGCGTTTCCAAGCTGCAACAAGCAAAACACGAGCAACCCTCGCGTTCATTAATGTTCAGTCAACACCCAACCTCACGTCTTAATTCTAAGACGCGAAGTTGGGGTTCTGAACGTCAGATTGGGCGTTTGACTCGTTCAAACATGAGTCGAACGGTTTTAGAACTGTTTTCCCCACGATCTGAGGAAATCACGCCCACTTAGGAGCGGATTTAGAGGCCACTTACAACCTCTTATCCCCCTATAAAAACTCAAAAAACCTAACGGAGTAAAGGGTTGGATTTTCAGCATCTAAACCGCACGGGTTTGGAGGTTCTTCAGGATCTCAACCGCACAGAGAGGCAGGAGAGACGAAATCCTTGGAGATAGGATTTTTGAATCGAGTTCAGAAGATCAAATCTGAAAGGATTCTTCAACAACAGAATATCTGCTTGGTCATTAACCGAATCTTCGGTTCTAACAACTCTATTCACAGAGTTCTAACTCGTTCAGAGTTCTTAAACTCGTTAAAGAGTTACCCATCAAACTTTCCACAGAAGTTCATCGTTCCCACGAGATAAAAGACGGTCGGGTCGTCAACGGAGAGCAAATTCGACGCGAACAATTAAAGGAGGCACTCCATCGCTACCTTGAAGAACCCAGTTTTAAATAAAGGGGAGAATCAAATTCATTCTCCTCTCTTTTGTAATCGGAATCCAATTGAAGAACCCAGTTTTAAATAAAGGGGAGAATCAAATTCATTCTCCTCTCTTTTGTAATCGGAATCCAATTGTAATCGATTTTGAGAGAACTCTCTTTTGTAATCGGAATCCAATTGTAATCGATTTTGAGAGAATACAGATCAATTTTTCTTTCGTTTTTTTTACATCGAATTTTTCCACAAACAGGTTAGTTACCAAGGGTTACAACCAGAAGGCAGGAATAAATTTTCAAGAGACATATTTTCCTGTAGCTAAATTTATATCAATTAGAATAATTTTGGTGATTGTTGCATATCTTGATTTGGAGTTATTCCAAATGGATGTTAAAACAGCATTCCTTAATGGCAAATTGAAGGAAGCAATATATATGCAACAACCTAAAGTTTTTCAGGTAAACTTGAAGGTTTTCAGGTGAAAAGACATGAACATAAAGTTTACAAATTAATGAAATATCTATACAGTTTAAAACAAACTTTTAGACAATGATATCTCTAATTTCATGATGCAGCCACTAAAGTTAGTTTATTCAAAATAAATTAGATAATTGTGTATATGTCTTGAAAAGTGAGAGCAAATTTAATATATTATCATTATATGTGGATGATATATTGCTCACTAAAAATGACATAGAAAATGTTGAATAAAACCAAGGCAGATTTCAGCAAAAAGTTTGAGATGAAAGACATGAGAGATGTACCATATATTCTTGGAATTCAAATAATTTGAGATAGAAAGTCTAGAATGCTAAGTTTCAACCAAGAAAAATATTTAAGAGTCATTGGCTCATCATAAATACCGAAGATCAAAGCAAGTTTAGTTTTCTTGATTGTAACACCTCATGCACCCTGAAAGAAACAAGCAAACAACCATTGATATATAAAGAGACAAAAATAACTACAATGGAGTTTCTAATCACAGAGGATAGGTTCAATTTATATACATAGAATCATCACGAGAAAAATCTAATACCAGGATTAGATAACAATAGCGGATTAATTCCTGGACCTGGACGCTACTTTAATTACGACAATACAACTTACAAGCAGGGAGGAGATAATACAATTCCATAGCCATACAAATGAATGTAACCTGATGCTCTTGAAGTAAAGCATGTTAGCATCTCCAACAAAAAGAAAATAATTGAGTGCACAATTGATCAATATTATCAAATAAGCATATTGGTACTGGAAAAGAACCATACGCAAATATCATAATCATTAATATGCACTTGACACAAATATCATAATCTTGTAGAAAGACACCTGTACCTGATAATTTACTAGTTTTGGAAAAGCAACATGATGAATATCCTATATTTTCTGGTGTTTGTTTCTCCTTCCCGTTTTTGTTCAGTCAGACAAAGATTATGTCCTTAGAATGTTTGCATTCACGTGTACTTTCCTAAATATTCGCTAATTAACTTGCTGATTCAATCAGGGGGGAGCTAGTATCAAGTAAATTCTTGTATTGAATATTATCTAATCTGCTCAAGCTATAAGCTTTAGTTATAACAGGAGCTTATTAGGAAGCTTGAGTGGACTTATTGCTTAAAACTCAAAATATTTGGAGGAAGGTATTGGTGATTGTATAATTTTGTGAGCCCATATAGATAATAATAAGTTTGTGCTATCCTAAGGGGTTCAAGTATGATTCTGAGTACCTCATATGAGTGTAAAGTATGTTGACAACACTCGTATAATGTTTTGGACAAGTGCAGTTCTGATATTGTTTGAACTTGTAGATATCCTATGTGTACCTCATTTGAATCTTATTATGTCTCTAATCGAACAACGAACGACAAAGAACAGTATAAATCAATCAAAAAACATTAAAAAAGAAAAAAAAAATAAGCAGAAATCAGTCATCGTCTTATGTATGTGTAGCTAGTAACAACTTAGTGCATTATTTGGACAGGAGTGGGGAATGTCTACAATAAAACTCTACGGAAATAATTCCTCCAACTCGATCCTAAATTGTTGAAAATCTTGTTTTCACGACATAGGAAACCTGTAAATTTGTAAATTTCAAAAAAAAGAGAGAAATTTTCTTAAATCAAAAGAAGAATTATCAGCTTCTTTATACTAAGCTTCACTTCGTTCCTCCAAATTCCCCTCAATACCGTACATTCATTAGTTAGACAATGTAATTTTAGATTTCATGATATCTAATGTTAATAAAAAGTTAAAAACTTTTCTTCTCATAAGCACAAATTTCACTTTTATACACTAAAACAGAAGTTTTATAGCACAAAGAAGCAATTCTGCAGTTACAGTATCATACCTTCAGTCGTGACCTCCCAGGAGACGAGTCGCCTCCAATCTGAACACTGATCAAAGACTGCAAAAATCCCCATTCCCATCATTACAACGAACGAAATCAATCAAAGAACAAGAATCAGTTAACGAATCTCCACTCACCTCAGCTACAAACACGTGCGCCATCGCGAATCTCGAAGAAAGACTAGGGTTTCCCGGTTGAGGCGGCGGCGGAGGCTCTGGCTTCGCGGTTGAGGCGTCGGGGAGGCTCTAGCTTCGAGAGGCGGTTGATGCGACGGAGGAGGAGGGATTGGGGTCGGGATGATGAGGAGATTTGAGCTGCCCTAGGGAGAAAGATAGGAGATTTGGGTTTTAGGGTTTTGGTTTTGGGAATACGGACGGGTAAATGGGTGAATAGAAACCGCCCATTTAGTACCCATTTAATTTAGTTTAAAATGGACCCGTCCGATTAGACCCATTTAACTAAATTGGTGGGTTTTAGATGGGCCAAGTGATGGGTGGGCTAGGTGGGTAAACGGGTATGGACAACAATTGCCTTCCCTACTGGAGCGGATAAGAATCCAGCGGGTTTCAGAAACGGGTTTGGCGTTTCGGGTTTAACCCTACCCGATTTATACCCATCACCCAAGCACGACCATCGCCTAAGTCCAGCTCATCACCACCACCACTAAAACCCCGCCTCCAAAATCTCGGTCAGCACAGAATCTCTGTCCCAATCGTCAAGCCACCGATTTCTCCCCCAAAATTCTCCTCTTTACCTTTTTTAGGGCATAAAATATCTCCCCTCTAGTGTTTCGGATCAACTCAATCTTCTGATTCATCATCGAGTTCGTCGTCGTCGCGGCCATATGATGGCGGCGTCGAGGTGCCTCGAGACCCTGCGGCCAGCCATTACGCGTTTAATCTCAGAGCTCGCTGTTCCATTATCCTAGAAGGTCTTTTCTTGGTTCTGTTGGATCGCTGTATAGCGTTAGGGATTGTTCTTGGGAGAATCATCGAGTTCAGCGCCGAAGCAGGACGGTTTCTGATTGGATCCGGAGGGGTTCGATGAGTGATGGTGTCTGTTTCCGGCGGTTCAGTGGGTTTCTATCGGATTCCATTGGGAGTAGAACTTCAAGAGATGCGGTAATGTTTGCGTAATTTGACAAAGGGTTGTCTGCACTTTAATGACCCAAAATTTCACCTGAAATTTTCAAGTTTGACTTCAATACTTTCAAGAATATCAACGTAAAACGTGAATGGGAAACAAATGTTATTACCAAATTTCAGTTCTCTTTGAGTCTGGTGAAAGTGAGGATAGGGCTTTGGGGTTGTCAATATTGTCAAAATAGACCAATACAAAAAAAGAGTGAAACTTTGGAGTGTTAAAATGAAATAAGCCTTTGAAAAAGAATAATTTCCTTTGCATAGATTTCTTATTCACAGCGGTTTATGTTACTCTGGAGCACGTAATCGACATGCAGTGTCAGAGCAAGGATTTCTGTTTGGGCCGCAAAATACAACTACTATACCAGGTGAAAAAAGAACCTGGGAAAAAGTTCTACAGAAAAGACATTTTCATGAATACTTAAATCATTTCAACATACTCACCCACCATTGAATCAAAATGCTCCAATCTTCCAAAGCTTCTTGTAAAAAATTCTTGTAAAAATTGTATAAATTATATAAAATGTTGTTGGTTTTGTCATAATCACAAGCTACAAATTACAAACTTTTAGAAGACCTGACAATTTTTTATACTATTTAATTCATTTCAAGCAATAATGAGAACAAGTAAAGCAGTTTTAACTATACTAGTATAGTGTATATGCGTTGCACATAAACACACTTGTTGATCTTTTTATTGAGAATTTTTTGTTGTTCTCTTAGAGAAGACTCAGAAGAGTAAGGAAGTACATGGTTATGAGATGTCATCCTTAATTAATAATTAAAACACTGCATGAGAGAATACTAGGCACATTTTTCTTTTCCTTTTCTTTACACAACAATCTATGACATCTATAACAAAATTGAACGTTCCTCAATAGGTTTCTCTCTATAATTCGTTGTGATTTGAGGAACTTCAGCTAAGAACACTGATCAATTCAGGGGTTAATGAGAAATCATCCTCTACACTGGGCAAACAATATTTCAATAGGCCCAAAGCCTATTAAGAGCAATGCTTATTTGGGAGCAAATGGGCGGCCTTTTCTTATTGGAAAAACTGGAAAAAGTAAAAGAATACCCAAAAAATACCCAAAAAGCCTAAGGATCTTGAATACATCAAACCATGACACATAATCACTCAAAATTTGCAAAAATAAAAGACATGGATTGAAAAAAGGAAAACTCAGAAAGCGTACCTCTGAATCTTATAGATGCCAAAATTTAATACATACCTTGTTATTTATAGTGATTTGGGGGGAGAGGAATAGTTGTAATGTTTTTCATCGTTAGTGCACATGAAGTTATGCTATGTGTCAAGAGTCAGTGGCGGAAGTTTATGAGTGAGTGGTTAAATGAAAAATTGATGATATTAGTGGGAGAAGTTATGAAAAACTGAGTATCTGTTGGTCTTCATGTATGCATGGATGGATTTGTCTTGATGTGTGCATGTATGTGTTTTGTGGATACATGTATGTGTTTTGAAGGGCATTTCTAGAAGAAAATGTTTTAACATCCTACACATTTTTATAATAGTACATGATTTATAAAATACTTGCAAAAGTACATAAATATAGAAGACTCATTTCCAATAATAACCCAATTTTCAAAATCCTAATCAAATTATATAGAAATCCTGTTTCACATGTATACTTCTTAATGTAAAACTTTATGAACTTAGAAGAATCTCATTTCACAATTTTACCACAAAATACAAAAACCACATGAAAATATAAACCTTATGTCCCAATTCTACTGTTAAATGCAATATACGTGAAAATTGAAATCTTGTTTCCGTATTCTACTTGAAATGCAAATAAGAAGCAATAATATGAAATTGAAACCAATTTCATATTAAATAAGAAGCAATAATATGAAATTGAAACCAATTTCATATTACAATACAACTCCGGATAAAAAAACCACTACGAATCTTATCAGAACTGCTCACATGCCAGCAACTTGTTCTGAGCGCCTTCCCATTTTGCCCCCTGTTGTGTCTGTCGAAAGCTCAAAACCTACCACTCACATGCGGTCGGTTCAGATATAAAGCGGACTCATAAAAAAATATGAAAATAAGACAAATTCTGACAATAATCATGTAGATGACTAGAACCTCGAATTCTCAATATTTTTGGCCAAATTCTAAACCCACAACACCAAAGAAATAATCTCACTGAAGATGTTCGTATTTAACGTCAAACCCTATAAGTTGAGTCCAGGAAGAAAGAAAAAAGATGTATTTGATTTTCAATGGATGCTGAGATAACTGCATCTATTTTCTTGGTAAAACACAGCTGAGTATTATGGACAAAAAATTGTGTTTAACTCACAGGTTTTTGAATTACAACAGTATTACTGAATCTTTTTGACTCACAAGAGCTTTAACTCTAACATTTGGACTCACAAAAAACTGAGTTTTAACCTTTTAAGAGTATTATTTTTTCTTCATTCTAGAGATTTTCGACTTAAATTATTGTGTATTAACTTCACTTTCTTGCCTTAACAGAGGTATTTGCATGAAGCGAACGCATTTTTCTCCACTTCTGCCGGTGAAATGTCAGCAAAACCAGCTGTTGGAGCTGGGCAAAAACTCAAAAATGACATGGCGAGAAAAGAATCCCCTGATGAGAAAATTACTGACATGAAAATCATTCGTACCCTTGCAAAATACTTGTGGCTGAAAGATAATGTAGAGTTCCGCTTTAGGGTTGCAATGGCTTTGGGACTGCTTGTTGGTGCGAAGGTGAGCATTACATCTTTAGTCCGTGGACATTATATTTGCTGCTTTTTATTGGTGCTTCCTGCTGTTGATGAGTGTGCTTCATTATTTTCTAGGATACATTGATAACGTTCCTTCAAAATTTCCACCACTCTTTAGGAACAAGATAGTTTTACTTTATTTGCTCGAGAGAAAGGTACCTAATGACTCTATGCTCTTGCTATGGATAAAAATGTCTCTGTTCTCCTCTTCCTCTCTCTAAATTTTTATTAGAATAAGGCCATGCACATGTTAAAAAAAGCTATATTCTTGTATTTACATCCCACACCATTCTTTTATTTGTTTTACATACCAGTCATGTGTAGCCTTCACACTGGTAACAAATTGTACATGCATAGCATAGTTTCCTAATCACATATCAGAGCCGAATGCAGCCTGATTTTTGTGATATCAGCAGTCAGTGTGTTTTGAATATTTATACACTAAATTCAAAGAGGATATAGGTGCACAATTGGAAATGTTCTAACAATTTTTTTGTTGGATGTGTGTTTCTAGATTAATCTTTATGCCTCTCTTTATGTTGTATTGTGGTAATTTATAAAAGCCAATAGCACATTAAATTCATTTATATACATTTTGAAGCAATCATATGGCCTCGTCTATGTGGTTAAAAACATTTAAAATAACAATTCTAATCTAACGTGTATAATTATACTCAGTGGTTTCTACAATGTAGTTGTGATAGATTTTTCCATCCAACAGTCATATCCCTATTGCTGGGGAATTCATAGTGTCCTTCAAATTATAGTTTTAGCTAGGAGATAGAGAACCTGTGGAAGACATCCATAGATTTGTTTCGTCTTGTAGTATTTCCTTAAATTCGGAAGTCTTGTTTGTTAAGGGATTCATTTTTTGTATATCAGGCGTTCCTTTTGTCTGGACAGTAGCTATGTTTCTGGGTTCTGACCATCTTTAAAACTTATTTATGTTGTTTGAAACCCTATAAGGCACTTTTTTGTTCTGTTAATAGATAACTCATAAATGTTGCATGCAAAATATCTAACTTCTTGCTCTGAAATTGGAAACTAGGTCATAAATGTTCAAGTACCTTTCTTGTTCAAACTTGCTGTGGATTGGCTTTCAGCTGTCACTGGTTCTTCTACTACATTCGCATCATTTACAGATAACAACTCCACTTTACTAGCACTTTTTGTGAGCCCAGCAGCTGTTCTTGTTGGGTATGGAATAGCACGTGCTGGTTCATCTGCCTGCAATGGTATTCTACATAATTATCTGATCAAGTTTTACCTACCTTCGTCTTATTGGATATTGTGTTGCCCAATATTCAGTTATTCACAATGTCTTACTTTCGGGCTTAATTCTCTTTCAACAGAATTACGAAATGCTGTGTTCTCCAAGGTAGCACTAAGAGCCATCCGCACTGTGTCTAGGAAGGTAAAGTTATCCTCCTTTCTCTTGTTTTAGCATGTCACTGTTGATTCTTGTGTTTTGTTTTCGGCAACCTTTTGTTCTAGCATTCTAAACTGGTTATTTTATTAGTATTCTAAACTCATTATTGTATTAGTGTCCTGTAAAAGACGTTACTGGAAACTTTTTCTGTGTGAGCTTAGTCGTTTTTATGTGATTTTACCACGTCATATAAACCAAAGAGATATAGACAGCCAAATTAAAGCTCTCTACAAGCTACCAGCTTTGTGTTAGTGATCTTACTGTAATAGAGAAATAACCAGATATGGCAATTCTCATTTTTATTTGCATTCATGAATTTCATTTCTGAAGGAAAAATGCTATGTATAGATAACCAAATTGGAGGTTGAATCATGACATTCCTTCTTTCCAATCAAATCTTAAGAAATGTGTATTTTAGTAATCTAGTTGCCTGGTACTAGCTACCGGGCCAATGAAATGCGGACACTAGAGGTGTATCCAACAAAATATAGCTACCTCTGCAGCCAAGGATCAAGCCACTTAACTTCTTAATTATTAGTCCTGGAAAGAGGAGATAGCTGATTACCTTTGCTATAGGTAATGTCTTACTTCTGTGTGGCATTCCATCTAATAAAGAAAATACATACATATTATCCATCTTGTTAGTGTATATGAGGTTGAATGATACTTATTGTATTCAGAGAAATCTAAACTGACTATTGACTGTTGTAAATGCTTACTTAGAAACCAGTTCTTACATGAAGATGTCCTTAAATGTGTGTGTATGTGTCACACACACACACACACGGATGAACATTAACATGTATTGATGGTCCAGAAATGCCTAAGAGTAATTACTTTTACTATGGTGAGATTGACAATGCCATGGTTCCTCGAATCAAGTTAAGATAGTTAAAATGGATAAGTGCTTCTCAAATCTTATGTGATAGTAGAATTTATTTGAAATTGAAGGGAAAATTTTGTAAAACGAGACCAACAGTGATCTAAGATTATAATATTGGATATAAACTAAGAGGTTGGATAACCAATGAGTTCATGCATAGAAAGTTCGAAGTTGCTGCTCTGAGGATAAAATCATTGAGAATCGTTTGATATGGTTTTCCCATGTGCAACAGAGGCCACTAAATCAATTAAGAGAAGTAATCAAATTATAGTTAATCAATTTGTGAACGTTACGATAGTGATTAACTTAATAGTGGAGAAAGATCTTTAACAGAATTTATCCCAAAATTTGGGATAGAGGTTTGCTGTTACTGTAAACTCCCTTGCACACACATACATATAGACATTCCTTTTCATGCAAGGATCCATCTATAATCCACCAGCATTGGTGTTCCTGCCGAGTCCTTTACCTCACCATTTACATAATCTCTATACCTAAAAGCTAAACTCATTATGAATCTTAAAAACATACAATTCTTATGTGTTTTCTTATTGGTTGGTATTTCTTTATTAATGCTGTCAATTTTTCTTTTGATTTGGAATAGGTTCCTGGAAATCTAGTATAGTTACGATGCATATAAGAAATAGAATCTTAATGTTCCTTAATTAATAATTGATATTTCTTGATAGGACTTGTAAGGATTATAGTTTTTGAATGTTTGTCCGGATTCTATATGGATTATGGATTCTTTATGCTACCTTAAAATGTAATGCGATAAGTGATATATTTGCAGTTCGGATTATGAACTTCGTATTTAACGAAAATCTGGTGATTGAGATCCTGTGTTGCTTATAATTCTTGAAGTCGTAGAGATTAATACGAGTCCAAACTTTTAAATACTGTGGTTTTTTACTGTATTTCCCTGTTAATTTTCTTCTATGATTCGTAAATTCTAAAATTATGATAATTGTAACTTATGAAGTATGGCCTGATAGTGTAGGGTTATGTTTGGGATGGAAAACAGCTATAACTCTTTAGGAAGCGACAGTTTATTCCTCCAAAAGGAGAAATGAAAATATTTTCTTGTAAATACCTTTTTTATGAGCATTGAGCACTGGACATTTTTCAGCCCTATGTTAAGTTTTCAATTGTTATATGAATTTGACATGTTTTTCTCTTGGCAGTTATCAATGTTCCTTTTTGTAAAGTTTATTTAATACAATGATGTTATTTCTGGAAGTCGGATAATAGATATAAAATGTTACACATGGCTATAAAAGGAAACAGGAATCTGAATGCTTCATAGTACTTACAAATTTTGATCGAATTAATTGTTACTAGTATGCTTTGCATATTATTCCGAGTTACTAGTATGTTGTGCATATTATTCCGAGTTGCTAATTGTTCACTTTTTCAGTGACTTGTTAACTCTACAGCTAGAATTTCCCCTATTTTTTGGGTAATTTCTTAAAATTGAATGTACTTGGATTTCTTTATAATATATTGTAATAAGTTTCATACTAATTAATATTTTTCTAATGATGTTGATATTCTTGTGGGCATGCTAGGTCTGTAATTTAAGTTTCCTTCACCTAATTGTATGACAATAATTTTATTTTTGTTTATACATGAATTGGTAATAACTATAGTAAATTCAATTACTTGCAGGTATTTTCACATTTGCATGACCTCGATCTTCGGTTTCATTTAAGGTATTAACAATATGGGACTTGATAATCTAGACAGTTAATTTTGATATGACATTTTATCAGGTATGGTGTTACAAATTTCTAAAAAAGGTTTAGATGATGACAGATCTGTCATCTAAATTCTACAGAACATTTAAGTAAATAGAAAATCTGCGTTAAACATAAACAAAATGCATAATTCATAAACAGGACCTGTTCTTTGTTACTGTGAGGGGGCAACTGCTATCTATATTCTATTGGGTCCTGTTCAAGCATACTGAAATGTATCTCACATTAATCAATGAAGATAATAGATGTAGTTCTTATTCAACAGACAGAGGTCTTATGAATGGTTATTTAATTTCTTATCTATTAGTTAATATTTTGCTCCACTTTATTATACATGACATAAACTAAGACGATTACCTTTTTTATTATATTTATTTAATTGCTGCTTTTGATTCCTAACTCCCTCAGCCAGTACGGTCGAGTGATATACCTTTTTTTAGTAACTTAGACAACTCAAATAGTAGTCAACGTTGGAGCCTATTTATGGAGTCAAACAATGGGTCACTTTGCACGTTGAGTTTAAACCGGGAGTCTGTTAAGGAGTCTGTGGTAGTTGGAAAAGTCAATTGAGGGGTCTAATCATACTTACATGTATGCAGTACGTAACGGTTTTGTGGTATGAATTTGGGTACGCAATTTGCCGTTTAGCTATGCATGAATTTGAGAGGGGCAGGGTTCTTTGGTATGCAAGTTCAGTACGTGGTACATTGTAAAATATTTTTTAGGTGCCGCTTCTTACCATTTTTAAAATTGCAAAGTAGGAAAATAGAAACTAGAAAGCTAATTATGCATTTTAATATTTTTTGCTACAAAGTGCTTCGATGTTTTATTTTTCAAAATTTCTGAATACATAAAGACGCAAAAATCATTTGTATCATAGACTAAGCACCTTTAGAATTTTTTTCTTCTCCACCTCCTGTGATTTTCAACAATAAAATTTGGGTATGTTACCCTCCATCTGTGTGCTATCTTTTCTACTTCAATTTCTGAGTTTTTGTAAGTTGTAAGCTGGGATACCAGTTCGCATACTAGAGTGAACAGATACACAAATGTATGGCGTTCCAGAACTTGTGGATTGCCGCAATACAGTATATCATACTGTTATTTAAACTGGCCTATAGGTTTGTGCTAGGCCAGGTGAGGCCTGGGGCAGAGTTGCATATTTCAAATGTAACACTGTTTATCCTAGTGTAAATCTGGTTAAAAGAAGTCCGTTCTTTGTCATTTCTTCTACAAGTCTTACTTGAACCCTTGTTTAAAGCTTGGAACCTCTTTCACGTTTAGGTTCATCTCTAGGTTGCTTCGGGTGAGAATCAGTTAGAAATCATCCTTACTTTTCTCATTGTGCACTATTAGAGTTCTTTCCATTAGTTAGAAATCATCCTTACTTTTCTCATTGTGCACTATCGGAGTTCTTTCCATTGTGTTTTAGTAGCATATGAGTCTGATGTGACTCGTGGCACAGAGAAATAAAAATAACTTACACATTCTCAAAACTTTTTCTATATTTTTGAGTAGTTTATTTAACATTGAACTACCTTTTCACCTTCTCACTCCTGTTTACATATTTTTCTTCAGTCGCCAAACTGGAGCATTGAATCGAATAATTGATCGAGGTAGCCGCGCTATAAACTTTATCCTTTCATCAATGGTCTTCAATGTTGTGCCCACTATCCTAGAGGTATGGCTACTGGTTGATCAGTTTTAGCACTTCCCATCTGTGAAATCATATGAGCTTGTATACTTTCTTTACTTGTCGGCTACTGGTTGTTCAGTTTTAGCACTTCCCATCTGTGAAATCATATGAACTTGTGTACTTTCTTTACTTGTCATTGCCTACGTGGGTCTAATTGCCTGGATAAGTTTCCTACTTCTATATCTTTTATTTGACGTTACATTTTTCGTCTTGGCTATATTCTTTGCCAGATTGCTATGGTGTCGGGTATTCTTGCATACAAGTTTGGAGCTACTTTTGCATGGATCACATCACTATCTGTTGCAGCCTATGTTGCCTTTACTTTAGTTGTCACACAGGTAAATGCTTCCCTATTTTTTTTTATCTGTCACTTATGGAACATTAGTGATTGAAAGTCCTGATTTTCCAGACTGTGCCCACTTGTACTGTTCTGGCGAGGCTTGTTTGTCTATGCACACACTTGTCCTATCTTTAATATCCTTTGCTCCTTGTTGACAGTGGCGAACTAAGTTCAGGCAAGCAATGAATAAAGCTGATAATGATGCGAGCACTAGGGCCATAGATTCATTATTGAATTACGAGGTCAGTTGTATCTTTTCTTTCAATTCTCCTCACTTTGTGACTATGTTACCATTTTTCTGTACAGCATGTCATTGAGTTGTCTTTACTGTTTTATCTTGTTATTGCCAGACTGTCAAGTATTTCAACAATGAAGCAATTGAAGTTGCAAAATATGACACATTATTAAAGAGTAAGTTATTACTAATTTTCATAGTCCCTTGTAAATAAATATACACTTATTTTATGTGGTTGATGGCTGTTCTGACTTTTTTCCGGTTAAATAGATATAACTTTGAAAGTTCAATTTTGTTGAGATGTATCACCATGATATTTTCATACAGGTTGGAAAAGTACTTGAATTGGCCATAAACTAGATTACCCGGACACTTTGTTTTGGGTGCCATATCCGTGTTTGATATGTGTTAGAAGATTCACCGCGGACACGCCATGGACACGCAAGAGAAACCCGATTCCCCCATTACTTATAACCTTAAACTGGTTTCTTTGGCATATCAATTTTGAGCCTGAGAACCGAAACTTGTCAATTAAAGATTTGACAAATGCCCTTAATATTCTATGAGATTAAAACAAAGCCCAATTCTACCTTTTGTTCCCCATTCCCACTTCATCTTCTTTGAACCCAAAAAAGAAAAGTAGGTCTCCATTCTCAGTTGCTCGACGACGACAAAAGATTTAATTCTTTGTTTGATTTAACTTAATTCTTAGCTGTTATAGATAATAAAAGGAAATACAAATATTACAGGTACTTTAATTTAGTATTTGATCTAATGTAAATTAGAAATATATAGCCGTGTCCCCCTATCCTACCCTTTACAATCTGACATGTCCTATATCCATGTTCACACCAGTGCCACGCCGCGCTGGTATCTGTGCAACCTGGGCCATAAATTTGGCTTCCCAAAGTTAGCGCTAAATGAGACCTTTTGAATGAGTATCTGGAGAGGCATCTTGATGATGCGAGTAAGATAGTTGGGGACTCATTACATGGTTATAGTTAACGAATAAGATGGAAATTAGAGTACTCCAGAAGTTGGGATGATATTTTATCGCGGCCTTATTCTAGTATGATAGAATCACATGTTCAGGTCTGAGACACTATGAGTCTGGACAATGAGGACTATCAAAATTAATGAAACCTCTTGAAACTTGCTCGGTCGTGAAAGTGCAAGTTAGTGCTTTCAGGCTTCAGCTTGGTTCCCATGTCACTAAGGATATATGTAAGACATGAATAATTTAGCAAGGTTGAGATCAGATAACTCGGCCAATGTTTTTTTATTAAATATACAAGTTATGTTTTAAAAAGCCTTCGTCTAGCCCGCCTAGGCGGTACCTATGCTACCTACCTAACACCTAGCTCCTAGGCGGTACGTAGACTGCTTGCCTAACGCCTAGCATCTAGACGATACCTAGACTATCCATCTAGGTTTTGGGACTGCCTAGGGGAGCATGGTCTACTTACATGGACTTCACCCTTTAGGCTTTGACCATGATTTTCTCTATTGTATTCTCCACGTCCTCCAACCTCCTCTAAACTCCAACCTCCAACTATGAACACCTCCTCTACCTCCTTCGACCTTCGGCAAAGCCCATTTCACTGCCACTTAAATGAAGAAAAAAATCCACTTAGGTGTCAGTCCAGCACCTAAGCTTTTCTATAATATTGGCATTTACTATCAGTTGTTATAATAAATAAATACAATATGAAAACCGTCTACGCTAGCTATCGGGTCCAATATGTCCGCCTTCTGTAACCTTGTATAAGAGTACTTGGTTAACTACAACATATTTAGGGACTTGTTCCCTGGGAACTTTGCATCACAGTTCAATGTATTCCACCATACTCTATTAGGATCCAACTTACTAATCATTTTTTTATAACTAAAATTCTGATTTTTTAAAAACCAAAACTCAGAACTCAGAAGTTTCCTAAATAGAAGTAAAATCTCTATTTTGACACTGATTTTTGAAAACTTTCCAAAAATATTTTAGTTCCATATCTTGGAGGCTAATTCATAAGAAACAAGAGGGGCAGCAAAATTTTTTGGCTTGGGATACACGACAACTGCATTTGATGGCACAATGAAGGCATTTGCTTGGCAGAAATAAAGAATTTCCATGTGAAAATTGACACTTCAGATGTTAGTATTTTGTTTCATGTAAAAGGATAGGAGTTGCATGCATAGTAACATTCCCTTAGATATGCCAAGAAGGAGCAAGAGTGGAGTAACCACGTACGAGAGCATTGAAATCCTTAGAATAAATTTTAGATGATTAGTCATAGCTAGTGTATGCAGAGCAAAGAGATATTTTCTGAGTGAAATAAGTGTTGAGTTCTCTTCCTGAGACCTATTAGATTGACATTTGAGTAGGCTAGTGCGTTGGGGGGGGGGGGGGTGGAGTTCAGCAGCATGCAATAATATCTATCCAAAAGCTGAACCCTAAGCCACATCAAATTTGATGGGAAAGCATCCACAGCTTAATAAATTCTTTTCCATGCTAAAGTTAGCTCTGCTCAAATATTGATACATTTAGCCTTAAAATATTATGCTAAAGATTATGTAGCAGACAAAGGTTTCAAGAAAATGTGCTGCATTATGCTAATGACTAAGTCATGGGAAGTCATCTTCTAATGTGGTGTTGATCTGCGACTTGCATCGCTCTCGTGGAGGGGTTGTTCTGGGGAGTAAAGAAGTGGTGTTGGATAAGCCTCACAGTGATAGGCTAAGTCATGGCCTAATCCTTCATGGCCAAGTATGTCTTGATAGGATAATGTTGTCCCACTGGCATTTTAATCTTTTATTATTTTTCTCCCCTTTTACATTGCTTTCTAACTTGTGTCTTGTTTTCTTACGCTTTAATATGCTTATGGTATATTTTTGGAAGCATTCAATCTTCTTTACTATTTTTTTTTTATCCACGAGGAAGCTAACTTTGGCAGACATGCTATTTCTCAGAGTACGAGGATGCTGCATTGAAAACTCAAAGTAGCCTTGCTTACTTGAACTTTGGCCAAAATGTTATATTTAGCACTGCTCTATCAACAGCGATGGTTTTATGCTCGTATGGGATACTGAATGGTGCAATGACAGTTGGTGATTTGGTAATTTTGTCATTTTTACCGTCGTCTATCCATTTATCTCTTTTCTTTCTCACTTCAGTAGTGCAAATTACATCTTCTATCACAGATACTTTTTTGTTCTATTTGACTTCAATTAATAATTCTCTCAAAGGATTTTTTTTCATTATCTTCTTTACTATGTCTCTAAAACTTTTTTGAACTTATAAATCTTCACTATGTTTGAGTGGTACTGTATTTCAGATTTATATAATGGCAGCTATCAATTTTTTCAATGTTATGCAAGTATGTCCATAGAGCAAGTATTAGAATTGAAGATTTTGCTGGTACTTTTTTTTGGCTAGTTTTATTCTTTAATCTGCGATTCTGTGAGATTGTGAGGAGCTGCTTAATTTGATTCATGCAATAATAAGCTGCATAGTCCTTTTGTGACATCTATGATTTAACCTACAAAGTTTGAAAGCAGTTTTATCAGGCTTGATTCCTACTGATAAATAAATAGAGCATGATTCTGTGTAACTTGATGCTCATTTGTCAAAGTTTTTAACTGTTCAGGTCATGGTTAATGGACTTCTCTTTCAGCTTTCTCTACCTCTCAATTTCCTTGGAAGTGTATATAGAGAAACCAGACAGAGCCTTATTGATATGAAGTCCATGTTCCAATTGCTTGAGGTATATTTCAAGAGATTAATCATTACTATCACTAACGTTGCTGTGCTTGAAATTAGAACAGTCCTGTAAGGCTGTAACTACTAACCTTTAATATTATAATGTATAGAAATACTCATGATCCGGGTTAATCTGCTTCTATATCGGTTAGCCGATTGGTTGGTTATTGTCTTAAATGTGTTCTGGTGCTTTCATGGAGTTCATATTTAAATAGTTGTAGATTTCTAAGCTACGATAGCGTTTTCTACTCACAAGATTTTGCTGCATAACTCAGGTTGTTAGACTATTAGGTATACTACTTGTAATGTCTTTCTCATTTGTAGTGACATTATCTTGTTACAACTTACAAGTAAATACTCTTTGTACGTGGATACTCTTCATATTTTCATGTAGCTGTGCCATAAGCTGCGAAAGGGATCGTCAGCAATTATGTGTAATTCGTAGGAGTGTTCTTTCACTCTCCCTTTTGTTTTTGCAGAAGAAACAATTTAACATCTATCTATACTACTATAAAAAGAGGATTTTGGTGTTAAAACTTTTAATTTCCTTTTTTGCCCTCTCAAAATTTGATAAATTCTAACTATGCTAGTATCTCTAATTAATCTATCATTAAATAAATATAACCTCTTTATTAATTATAAACCTTCCCACCATCCTAAATAGTTATAATTATCAATAATATTATAAATATTAATTTTTTAAAAGTAATATAATAAAATAGTTTATAAATTAAGTATACGCAATTATTATTAGTTACCAATTAAATTATTATAATAATTATTTATGAATTATAATAAAATAATTAAAATAATTAAATAATAAAAATAATAAAATAAATAGAATAATATATTACTAAACACTATTAAGAATTATACTATAATTCAATGATTAATAAAATTAATAGAATAAATATATAATCACATAAATAATGTAATTATTTTAATAATATCACAAATTATGAATTACACTATTTATTCAATATTATATTATTACATGAATTGAATAAATAATTTAATATTATTTTTCGAGTATTTGCTGAAAGATTATTACATAATATTGAATAATCTATACTTGATAATGATTGAAAAATAACCTTTCAAAAAAATTATTTAATGTTAATAATAGTACTATTTAGTGCTAATGATAGTCTAATAAAAATTTATAAAATATTCATAGTACTAAATTATTTAAATGCATAATTAAAAAATAAATTAGATAAATATTTTATAGTATAAAGATAGTATAACTATTTTTAATAATATTACTTGAACTAAGGATTATAATATTAAATAAGGTAAATTACAGTAAAACCTCATGAACTTTCAGCATGTTGTAGTAAATAGACCCTATGAATTTTTGAAATCTCACTAAACCCCTAATAACTTTTGTAGAAAGTTCCCAATATCTTTTAGATAAATTACACCAAACCTCCAATGACTTTCAAATTGCCTTTTTATGCCATTTTTGGTTCTAATTTATAGGAGTTATCTGCAAAATTTAGGAAGTTATTAGGGGTTTTCTTTGAAATAGAAAAGTTTTTAGGGGTCTAGTATGATTTTGAAAGTTCATTGGGGCTAAAAGTTCATAAGGGTTTAGTGTAATTTAACCTATTAAATAATTATAACGAGAAGTAACTACTACAGTTGCAGGTATTAAGTGTAACTATGTAGGGAACACCAGGAAAAAGCTAGCAAGATTAATACAACTTAGTTAATTTAGAATTAAGTTAACAACTTTCAAGTTGGAGGGACATATTTAAGAGAACTTATAAAATTGGCATCATTTAAGAATAATATTAGATTTGGAGGACTTATTTGAAAAAAATGTTAGCACTTGGTGTATCATTATAAGAAATATATTTAATTAAAATAACTACACAATAGTAATTAATTCATACATTTCTTCTTTAAGTAATCTTATTATACAATTTTATTTATTAATACATAGTTTAATCATTCAATAAAAAATTTAAAACTTAAAACATGTACATATACGTGCAAGGCACGTGCATTATACTAGTCAGTTGTAAAATGTTTCTAACTCTCGTGTTACAAAACACTGTTCTTGAGGCACTTCTAGTTTCCTTCTTTACAAAAGGTGTGTTTGGTTTGACGTAGCTGGAGCACCATTCTTTTTTTAACTTTTACTGTGCACATACCTTAAAAATCAATCATTTGTTAGTGTAGTTTTTAAATACCAACTTATTGTAGTAACAGCAAAATAATGTAAATGCTACTGTCAGAGCTTAAAGTCAGTGCAGCTGACAGCAGTACAATAGGAAGCATGAATATCAATGCATAGATCCGTATCAGATATTTTAGCTCTGATGGTAAGTTAAAGACTAATTTTTTTTAAATATAAAACAAAGCTAGAAGTAATTAGTACTTTTTTAAAGATTTTTAGATATTAGTCCCATAATTATCTTTATTTTTGAATTTGATCCGTCAAATCTTTATAATTGCTTCTTAGTCCCTCAACCCATTTAAGTTACACCAAGTTAGTCCCCTAGTTAAATTTCATTCTAATTATGAAAAGTATTTTATTGGTTGTCACATTTTCCTCATTGTTCCCATTGCACCCACTAAGATCTAACCTAAACCACTAAAAGCCATTATCCTGTAGCATTGGGCACCACAAACCCAACATTATTGCCTATCGTTTTCTTTTTACCAGCCCAAACCTCCATTCCTCTCTGTTTTTTTGACTGAAATTTTGATATTGGGGGAATCTTTGGGAAGATAAAAAGAACCTTTGAGGAGAGAAGCAAGGGGGTGGGGTGGGGTGGGGGGGGGGTTGTGAAGAGATTGATTATTAATTAAAAGTGAAGGCAATATTAAGTTTTCATGAAGACTATCCTAGTCAGCATTAACCTAGCTATAGTTATTAGTTAGCTAATTGAACAGAACAATTAATAGAGGGACGAATTTTGTGTGACTTAGATGAATTGAGGGAATAAATAGCAGGTATTAAGATTGGACCAATATTGAAATAAGGATAATTTAAGAGATCAATCTCTACAAACCCCTAATTTTCTTATATTAATGATATTGTTGGAAAAACATGCAATTCAGACACACCATTGCAGCTCCAAATGTATCTGCATTCTTTAAAGATGTATTTTGCATTTCCAACTACAAGCAACCACACACACCCTAATCTCCTTCCTTAATGACCTTTGCAGGAGAGGCCTGAAATCAGGGATGAGCATGATGCGAAACCATTAACATTGTCTGGAGGAAGCATTGAATTTGATAATGTACACTTCGGGTAAACCATTCTGACTATCGTTGTTTGGTTTTTCATCTGTATTGTATTTGTACTATTTAATTGTGGTACCCAAAATATTATATCTGCAAGCATCATGGTTAGATTGTGATGTATAGCCCTCTTTCTCTTTCTCCTTTCTTGACCACCACTTCTACTCCGCCTATGCCTGCCCCTCACTGACGAACTCACCCCTCTGCCGTCCACTGTCCCAATGCGTACCTCTCATCTGCAGCGTCCTACCGCCTCCCTTCGAGATCATGCTATTCAAATCGTTTAAATCATGTCCTATTACTGCTTAGCATATAACTTTTTTCCCCATAGATTTTGTCAAAATTAATTTGTTTGAAAAATCATTTATTCCCTCCTCTAATCTTTCAGTGAATAATATTTTCTATCCAAAAATTTTCCCCTTTCTTATCTCAGATACCTAACAGAACGCAAGATTCTGGATGGGGTATCGTTTGTCGTTTCAGCAGGGAAGAGTGTGGCTATTGTTGGAACCAGTGGCAGTGGTAAATTCAATATACTTCTTTAAAAAATAACGTAAATGTTTTAATGTTAGCATATGTAATTGTAAGTCCTAGTAACTTAAACTTCATGCATCACTTGCATTTTGTTTCTATTATTGGAATGTTCTCTCTTTGGTTCTGGAAGTGACCATAAATAAATGGATATGCATTATATTAGGAGTAGAGACCATAAACCATATCTTCAATTGATTGAGGTGTTCGAGATGACAATTTACCTTTTTTTGGTGTGTTAACCTTTTAAGGGATCAATTTTAAAATGAATGGTTCTGGCTTACTAAAACTTGATCCTTTATTTTGGTGTAAGTCTCTCCATCATAAACACCATAAGTTTTCAACTCACTTCTCATGTGTGCATGTGTAAAACGATTTATTGTTTGTGCACGAAGAATTGAAATGAGAATAAGGTTGAACATAATCTAATTTATGTGGTTTCTTTGTAACTGCACACAGAAGTATCGAAAGAAAGAAATATAAATCAGGGTTGGAAGGGGAATTCTCTCTTCGTGTGGACTATCTCACTTTATATGCTTCAAGCTTTTACCCTTTTTTGTATTCTGAAACCCTAACCTAGTAACCTGCAACATTCAACTACTAGGAGGATGTCTCGCTTTTCGAGGTGTTATACCTTGTTTTTCCAGTGGGCTTCCCATTCAGGGATTTATACACAGCAAGGCCGAAAGAAGAAATCTGATTCATCATCCCCTTGTTACCAAAGTCCTCAATGTATATAGACGTACTTGAGTAATACACATATAACATCTTTAAGATAGTGGCGCAGCATGAAAGAGAAATCACACCTTTATTTACTCTCGCTCGCTTCTGTGGCTCAGTCCTCAGTCACGGGTATTAGAAATAAATGATTTATCTATAAACATAAGATTAGTGTTGCAGAGTGTTATGTTACTCTTTTTTAGAAGGGCCATCTAAGATTGACATCCTGAATGACGAAAAGAGATATCACAATGACAATTTTAATTTCCAAATAGATACAGTTGACAGTTGATGTTAAAATATAAAGAAATATCTATAAATGTTTGTATGTGTAGTACACTTTACACTTTACAATTAAACAAGCAATCGAGATATTTAATTGATTGTGATGGTGTGAACGATGATTTTATATCTAACCATCATTATGAATAAACCTATGAGTCTATAGCTCTGTTCCTATATCAGTTCTAAATAAAGTAGAAAGCAACAACTAGCAAGTTGGCAAGTATTGAACAAAATAGTTAAATTTACATACGTACCAATAAGCACTAGAACTTCGAAACTCTAAAAGCAACAGACTGTAAGAAAATGGAATAGAATACAAGACAATCTGGGGCTTTTTCAATATTAGCTCCTTAATTCTTTCATATTTTGAAATTAGTCCCTCAAATTATTGAGATTGCTATTGCCCCTGATGCTTAAGTTATTTTGAAACTAGTCCCTCGATTATTGAAATTGCTATTTGATTTGTTTTAAATTAATCCCTCTAATTGCTCCTTCTACTCTTGGTTGGAGGGATGAAGTTCAAAATAACTTAAGAACTGGGGACCCAGAAGCAACTTTAATGATATGAACATAGTTACATAGTACGCGGTACGTAGCGGGTCAAGGTACGAATTCGGATATGCAATTCACCACTTAGAAAATTTGGATTCGTTAGGGGGTAGTTTGCTTCGGTATGCAAGTCCGGTTAGTGGCATGTTGTAAATTTTTTCCGAGTGCATTTAAAGTTTTCTAAAGTATGTAGTAGAAAACTAGAAGCTAATTATGAATTTTAATATTTTTTCATTCAAAATATTTAAATACTTATTTTTGATGGAATTTGTTTCTTTGTTCTGTTTTTTATACAAAGCTTGTTTTAGGATCATGACTTCGTTTTACATTTAATTAACATACGTGTTTAGTTACAGTAAAGTCATCAGCTTATATACTCTATTGTGTCTCACTTCACTTAATTGCACACATTGCATTGCGTCTTGCGCACGTGTATTAAAAGAGACTTTGCATCTAATATTTGTATGTGATACACCTATTTTGGGAACCGGTTTGTGTATCGGAGGGAATCGGTTCGCAGGAACTGTATGACGGTTCGAGGGGGGTCCAGGGAATCGTGCAATGATGGATCTGAGGGACAATTTCAAAATAACTCAAGATTTGGGTGACCTAATAACGATTTCAATGATTTGAAGGACTAATTTCATAAAATGAAAGATTTAAGGGTCTAATATCGGAGAGAACCCAACAATCTGAAGCTTTTATTGCAACACCCATGCACACATACACGAGGTTTCTATCCAGTATCTTGTGCATGTACTCCTAGTTACGAAGGGATATAACATTAGACTAAGGAACAGCTCAAAGGCTTCTGAGCTTAAGGACCCCCGTCATCCAAGGAAGCACTTGGCTAAGTGTCAGAGAGATTAGGTGGCTCTTCACGTCACCTAGGAGCTGCATCCTTCCTGCCACCAGCACATATAAATTTACACAGACACACACACACACACACAAAGGAAAACCAAAAAGGAACTGCCCATGACCTCTCATCTGTTCAAAGTCAAATAACTTCTACACATGGTTCAGTATATGTTCCTTTCTCATTTGCCAATTATCTTCTAAAGTAAGATGGAAGTGGAACCAACCAGATATACTGGATGCTTTTAGTAAAAGTTTGGTCAAATTTTGGTTTACACTTTCAAGTGGTGCTATTCCATTTGAGTACATGGTAATTTCCCTTTTTATCTTATTCTATGGTTTAACAAGAAAGGATATGCCTTGAAACTATTTAACAGTTTGCATTGTTTTGTATCTTACGGTATAACAGTTTTTGTGACTTCTGTCCTTTTATATTATATTCACTTTTTCTAAGATTTTATTCTTGAAATGTATCATGACTGATCTAATTGTGAACTTTAGAGTTGGTGACTATGTTTTGAAATTAGTGTTAAATAATAAGCTTATATTATCTGACTGAATAGTGTTTGACCCCCTACAATTCATTGGTGTTGGGTGGTTGATTAATTTTTGTATGCAGGAAAATCAACAATCCTTAGATTGCTCTACAGATTCTTTGACTCTGATTCTGGCCATGTAAGAATCTCATAGCCTTATGTCTCTCTATTTCTCAGTTGCACGGTCGTCTTACCCTGTGTACAGCTGAGAACTTTCTTTTTGTCTTTTCGTTACTTGGGAATGTTCATTTATTTATATATTTATTTTTGGTGTTACACCAATGTGGAGCTCTACACTAGCCACTTCGGAGATCTCTTTTTTCTTTCAGGCTGAAATTTTGGAAACTATCATGAACCTTCACAATTCTAATGCTAAAACTACCAGAAATTTTGAAAATTATAAGCGAACTGCTATGACTTCTCCATTTTCACAAGACTTCCATGACAGTGTGAATGCTGGTTAGTACATGGGGTTATTTCCCTGCTTCTCGATCACATTCCTTGTTCTTCCTCCTCCTTTTTTCTCCTCAGACCTTAGTCATGGAAGTTTTTGTCTTCCTGACCATTTTTTGCAACACCCACCCGATCCCCCACACACAGACATTCTCACTTATTATCTTATCCTGTGTTGTCACTATTTTCTTATCGTTCGTCTTTGGAATTAAACTAGAAATTTACTGCAAATCAAAATGTGATCTTCAAGTTCTTGTTTCAGAAATCAGTGCAGAACATCACCAGGAGATTAATGTTGAAAATTACATGCTTAAGAAATATTCTTATAAAGGATTAGGAAACTGATGCAGAAGAAAAAGAGGTGCAAAGATCACTGATGGGAGTTTTTGTTCAAATTTTATTACATGCAGGTCATGTACAAAAAGTACTGTTTCTGAAAATTGTAGGGAAGTTCATGGTAGTTCAATTGTCAAATTCATGGTTATTTAGAAATTAGAAATAAAACAATGAAAGTTTGTGGTTGTTTAGTTAATTTTAGCCTTCCTTCGGTTCATACTCAATCATTCACTTCGTACAGAAAAGTTAGAAAAAATATATTTCTTTTATCCGTCTTTTTCTCATTTCACTCTGAAAACATCTATGTTTATGTTTTCTAGTATGACATGTTAGCTAGTTTGTATATCTGCAATGAGCATAATCTGGTGTGAATTTTTTGGCATAATAATTATACTCATATTCTATCTGACTACTTAACAGGCTTGCTGCTGTTGATTCTATCTACATACAGAGTTAGTCATATGTGATTACTAAGCTACAATGTTGAATTGTAGTTAACTTATGTTGGGAATTATGGTGCCTAGTTGCCAAGTTGGATCCAATTCTCTATGTGTCAATGTGAAACATGAATCTTTTCATCTGTGGGTTTATATGTCTAAAATGTTAAGTAGCAAATTCAAGTAGCGTACACCTGATGTTATGATGCTTCTATCATCAATTTTAGGTCGAAGCAAGTTTATGTTTTATAAATTATAAGTGTTAGAAAGAAAAATGGATTGTTAATGGTAAGGATATTAAGTATGTATAATTATATTAGTATAAAACCTTTTAAAATAAATATTAATTGAATATATAAAAAAATATAATTTATAACATATCTTCAATTTAGTAATTTTGGGAATACAGTTCATATTTGTACGTACACGAATCATCATTGTGTATAACAAAAGAACATTGTATAGAAATGTGGAAGAAAATGATCAACGAAAAAAATTAATAGAGGTAAGAATAATCAGCAAATAAAGCAGCCACCCGTACTTGGCATGGGCCAAGATACTAGTGTGATTAGTAAGCTACAATGTTGAATTGTAGTTAAGTTTCGTTAGAAATTACGGTGGCTAGTTGGATCCAAGTCTCGCACAGCTATGCTGAATCTATTTGACACGTGAATCTCTCCGTGCATTGTTGACTAAAACATTAAATAGCAAATTCAAGTAGCTTACACCTGATGTTATGAAAGAAATGTTCTGGACTGCCATGTCTCCTTCTCGACATTAGTTCATCCCATCCATTCTATAACATGAAACCTCGATTATCTTGTTTTTGTTGATGACCACTAACTTAAGCATTTTCTGCTAATTAAGGCCAAATCTGGGTGCTAGATAGAGAACAATTCTTAAGTTGAAATATAAGCTTGTTTAAACCTGCCACAGGATCTCATTTTGCATTAACTCAATGCAAAAGGAAACTAAGGAAGTAACAGTATCATGTTTCTTGGCAATAGAACCTGGAAGGAAATTAACCTCAAATAAAATTCTAACGCATGTAACACCGTACTGCATGATTGCATCAAGATTGTGCTAAATGTCTTAACATACACTTAAGTGAATTCTCCAGGTGTCACATAGCTGTGTGTGCATACTGCACGCAGCTTGTTGATCATGATTGTTTACAAGTTCACATACTGTAGTCTGAAGCCCAAGTGTCCACTTTAACTGTAATAGAGATGAAGTCATTTGATATTTTTTTTCACACCTTAATTTCTTTTAAACCTTTAAGGGCATTAGTTGAGTATATATCATTCAAAAAAGACCCTCTTTTTCTAGGGTTTATTAATAGTGGTCATCTACAAGTTTCACTCTAGTTTTTTGACGTTTTGATTGGCTTACTGCTCCTACATGTCTTTTTTTGCTAAATTTAACCTTATTTAAGGTATTGCTTTGTACAGATCAGAGTCGACGGTCAGGACATACGAGATGTTTCCTTGGAAAGCCTTCGGAAATGCATTGGTGTCGTGCCACAGGACACTGTAAGGATAAAGAAATCATTAATTTAATGCCCTTGTACCGGGCTTTTTTTATTTTGACTAATTGAACTTTTTTTATTATGTTCTACTGTTTCTTTGGGTTGTATTTGCATTCTCTCTTTTTTCTGTTCTGTTATGCTCTTTACAGAAAATTCTCATAATGTATCGTAGTTCACTCCCAACGTGACGTGAAAATAATCCTTAAGAATAAAATTGAAACCCACAGTATGACATGAAAATGATGCTCATAAAATAGAAGGAAAATCATGATATGACATCTTGTGGAAGATGCACTGTCATTGTCAACTTTATTTTTTCAGAACCTATTCCGGTCATAATCTTAATTCAGGGTCTGAAGTGTTTGGTCTTATACCAGATCCAATTTGAAACTTAGCAAAATTGATTTCACACTGATTAAAGCTTAGAATAGTTCAGTTATGATTCTCTTGTGTTTGGTTTAGATTTCTTTCAAGCATGTTGTTTGTCATATGATCCTGCTAACATTAGTACATTGCAAAGAATCATGTGGCACTCTTCTTAACTTACTTTGGGAATTGAAAGGTGATTCTTTCATGATCTGTTCAAGTCCAGCATGTTGTCTGCTATTATGAAAATTTTAACTTTACATCAAACATTTCTGAACTTACCAAGCGGAAGAGAAAGCTGTTTTACAGGGAATATATGTCTTAGTGATTGCATTTTTTTTGTTGACCATTGATCTGAAAGATATGGAACCTTTGGTTATTCTGTGAGTTTTGAATGCAATAGGCATTGTTATTGGTTACTACGGTGGTTGAACAGTATATCTTGCTTGCGGTTACAGTCCGTTACCGCATATTTTTTGATTCGTCGAATCGTCTGTCTCTGTTAGGTTTAAGGGTAATGTTTTACATCTTTGCAACAGTTAGATTCTTTCCATATGATTACTATGTTTGAGATGGTGGAAAGGAATGAATCTAGACCTGTAATGTTACAGACTAAGGTCTTCTTAAATAAATATTGTCTACACTAAGTTCTTACAGTACCACTATTTAATCAAACAGTTGTAGGATCTGAACTTTTGCCTATTATGTGAGGAAAGAAAATCTTCAGAATTATAACCATTCTTTCATGTTTGGAAATTTCTGCAGGTGCTTTTTAATGATACAATATTCCACAACATTCATTATGGTCGACTATCAGCCACTGAGGAGGAGGTTGGTGGATAAACATAGCTACTAGTTACTATCTTGATTACTGATAGTAGGTTGGTAATGATATTATGATATTATTTCCATCAAATCTTTATAGGTACTTGATGCTGCTCGACGTGCTTCAATTCATGACACTATCATGAACTTCCCAGAGAAGTATTCAACTATAGTTGGTGAGCGAGGACTAAAGGTATTCATTATTTACTAAATTATTTGTGGAGAATGAATTCATAACTTGCATAAAGCTAGAGCAAAACATCAGTCAATTAACTGAACTAAATGAGCATGATGAAATGTCTCTGACATGTTACATATTACTTGCTGATAAATATGGAACCTACCAAGTGCTGTTCGCCGATATCCAGCTTCATGGACTAAATTGGAATGTAGATTCAAAATATTTACTATGTACTCCATAATTGTTGTGTTTATGTAAGTATTTTCCCAGTAAAAAGGGTGTGGATCACCTGGAGTAGGGCAAGAAATCCCATAAAAGATTTATTTCCAGCTGTAATAATGTTGGTCCTTGATGAGTTGTAGTCAAATTTCATGCAAAGGTAACCGTAAGCAAGCGAGGGCCTTACCGTTGAACTTTGACATTCAGTTTGTTGGCAGATGGACCCATCTTCTATTGCATGAATTTAAGCTCATGCAACCAAATGAACAAGCTTGCAGATCTCCCTAGACTGGGAAGGGTAAATTGAAGAAGATGCTATGATTTTCTTCAAGGAACCTCACTCAGCTCTTGGATGCAAAAGAATCTAGTCAAATATAATCGATTTCTCAAAATATCTTATATTTTTACTTTTTGTCTTAGGTTATAGAATCATAGAGTTTAATCAATTTTTATGTGCTTAGTATTTTCTTGAAAGTAAAGATGTGTGTTTTAAGCATTTTGTTTTTGCCTGAGCTTAACTTTGTCTTACAGTCTGCATTATTTGCCTTTTTTCCCCTTTCTTTCAGCTAAGCGGGGGAGAAAAACAGCGTGTATCACTTGCTCGGGCATTCTTGAAGTCACCTTCTATCTTGTATGTTACTTCAAATTCATGCACTTAGCATTAATTGTTTTATACGTGCCTAATTTCTTAGGTTTAGCTTCTTCAGATACCAGCATACTTCATTCAAGATTCCAATCTGGCTCTCTTGAATGATTTTGAGGATTCATTTTCATATTCATTTTTTTCTTTTAAGGAGTGGGGAACTTTCTTCTTCCATTTGTAATGTTGGTGATACGTTAGATTTAACGAAATCTTAATTGGTGCAGACTCCAAGTCGTTCTGCATTCTTGATATTCAACCCCCCGCCCCCCCCCCCCACCCCCCGAGCGCCGGAACCGAGTCGCAGACAGTGCAGTCTCATATTGTTGAAGGCATATTTTTTATAGGTTTTGCCAGTGATCTACTAGAATGGTGAAGGTTTATACGCTGTTGTAAAATTTAACTAAAAAATTCAATATAAAGGAAGCTTGAATTGTATATACTGCGGAAAAGTGGGCTTTTGCATCTATTGATATAATAGTAAATGGATTTTTTTTTTTAATTTTATGTGCATTCTTGAAATAAAGCCTATTACGAGCAACCTATAACTGTGTTTTTGTATAGGCTCTGTGATGAAGCCACAAGTGCACTCGACAGCACAACTGAGGCTGAAATATTGAATGCTTTAAGAACAATAGCAAACAACCGCACATCGATTTTCATTGCTCATCGGCTTACGACAGCAATGCAGTGTGATGAGGTAAGAAATAGGTTATGCAAAATATATGATACATAATTTGTTTATTACTGACAGACACTTTTGGCAATCTGCTCTTTATGTTTATAACTTAAATGCTCTGTTAGAATCTCGCTATTTACCATTTTTAATAAGCAAAGCCTACATATTTGGGGGCATATAGGCAGGTTAACTTTAGGTATGGAGAAATGATATGTTGCACTGGTGGCTTGTGATGATCAGTTACTATGCACCACTGATTGATCCAAGTGCTGGGGAATCAGTAGGACCAAGTTAAAGATTGGCTCAACAGTGTTAGCACTCAGCTGGATTGAAAAGAAACTAAATAAAATAAAAGAAATTAGAGAAAGAAACTGAAACTGAGACCCCTGATTTATAATTTTTGGTATTTTTATGCACGGGGAAATTTTTTAAAAAAAGTTTTATTATCTGTAGTATATGAAATCTAAGGTGGTGTGTTTTTCTCCCTAATCATCGAAATCTTTTTGCTTCCCTTCTGTTCAGATTATTGTTCTGGAGAATGGAAAAGTTGTCGAACAGGGTCCACATGAAGTTCTCTTGTCCGGGCCGGGGAGATATGCACAACTTTGGGCTCAGCAAAACAACAATGATGTGGTTGATGCAAATGTTAGAATAGTCTCCTAAATCCGTGAGAAGAAATGCAGGAAGTTGTTTCCTCTCACGTTCGCTCTCATAGCACTGGGTGGAGTAAAATAAATAACCACCATGGGTTACAAAGGCTTGCTCCGGCACCAAAATATTTCTGCCTAAAGGCATCGAAAAGACAGAACTGCAAATCCTCACGAACAATTCTTGTCAGCCACCACCAATCTTTTTTGTTTCACCATCACTTGGCATATTCTCGACAATTTGATTTAATTAACTTGTAAAAGTAATTTTCTGCTTATTACAAGCAATGTTATTTTTCTTATTTTTTTTTTCAATATTTATACGAAACAGTGCTGTGTCAATGTTCATTATCTTGTAATGTGATCCTTTATCTCCCAGAAAAACCTTTATAGCAATAAAACAGATGGTCTTTCTTATGCTTTATGTTATGGATGTTGCCCTCGTTCGGCTTTCTGCTATTGTCCTTTTTTTACCAGTATATATTATTTCGTGATGTAGTTGGTGTATCCCACCTCAACGGGCTTTCAGTTATTGTCCATTTTTTTGTGTTCGATGAGTTATTCGTATCTTATCATAGTTCACGGACAAAGTTGTGATTATTCCACATTTTCTCTCGTGGGTCCATGTCTGCTGAAATGAACGGTGATTCTTGATAAACCCTCTCAAAGTCGGATATTCCGATACGCGCTGCAACTCGGAAGCTTTGCGCCCTGAGCCGGCATCTTTCATTTCCTTTTCTCTGCCGTGGTGTAAAAAGGGATCTCAGGAATTAGTTTTAGTGAACTCATTTGAGGCATATTCCTTTTAGTTTACCTGATGCTATGAACAGTGGTAGAACTCACCTCTTAACCTCTTTCACGGCAACATCACATGTAACGTTCTTATCTTTCAGGGCTATGCTAGCCACAGTCACGAGTCGCTTTCACTAGTGACTATGGTGGTGACACGTGTCGGATCGACACGTCTTGTAAAACTATGTTCACGTTGTGAACGGAGGTAAGGATGGTAAGTATCCATAGGAAAGCACTTGGAAGATGATTAGCCGCCAATCGTCTGTTGCGCGGCTGCACGCGGTCGCTTTGTAGCCATAATTTCTTTCTTTCCAAGCGCTTTCATCTGGATTCTTACCGTCTGATCCTTACCTCTGTTCACGAAGTGAATTAGGTTTTACAAGAAATTCTCGAAGAACACTAGTACAATGTTGACCAAGCTGTGCAATCCCATAACACAGTGGCAAGTACAATCCATTACGATAAAACAGCTGAACAGTTCAACAAAGAGAATCAGTTGGTTTCAACATATGCACGAATCAGTATAGTTTTGATGATCCCCAGTGGGGGATAAACATAAGTAAAATTGCGAACTACAAACACTTGGTCGTACAAAGGTGGTTACAACGAACAACTTTTCTGCACTGACACTGCAGACGGCAACGATCACACTATTTGATAAGCTTGATAATCATGAGAGATTTCAAAGATTACAATTAGCAACTCACTTGTTTGTCGTCTCTTTGATTTTCCTTACCTCGCACAAGAAACTGAACACAACTCCAAAAACAATTGAGAACGTTACATTATTTCTCTCAGATCTTTCTTCACCTTAGTCGAATCGAGTCTAAAAGAAAGCCCACCATCTCCTGTTTCCGTGCCCATCCGCCGCGGTACTACGAGATCTATGAGGCTGCCTTGGATCCTGTTCTCCAATTCTGCACTGAATCCTCCTATCCCCCATAGGCTTACGGAACCACAAAGCTAGGGCAATACCGACAATGCTTACAAGTGGTGCAGCTGCAATGAAATACCATCGCCTGCCATTGTCACTTTCTCGGTTTAAACTGCTTTCACTACAATCACCACCCTCAGCATCAGCCTGCTCTGGTACTGCCTCAACAAGCTCATTCTGAGCTTCGTCCAACTCTATATCACTCGACATAGCTGAGATACTCTCAGATTGGTTCTGCTGATGAGCCTCACGAGTTTGGGGTACACCCATGCCTCTTTTGCCTTCCTCATATTCAAGATCATCAGTTGGAAGCTCATACCGACATATTGGGCAAGAATTCCTCGCCTTCAACCATGGTAAAATACAAGATGGGTGATAGAGGTGCAAACATGGAAGCTGCTTTGCTTCAGTGTCAATAGCTAGAGGATCCTTGCAGACAGCACAGACCAAACTCCCATTTTGCTCATGGTCCTTTGAAATGATTACAAGGGGGAGGTTCCTAATCGCAAATATTGATGCGGGAGGTGCTCCCCTTCTTGAATCATCATTTTCTGCAAGCTGCTCGAGGAGTTCGTCAAAGCCTCTCGCATCAAGGTAGTCACCTGCATTGCCGAACAAAGGCAACACTTCTGGTTCCTCTAAATCAGCAAAAAGATCATGATGATGCACTCGCCAACGAATTAAACTACCATTTTGCACACCAGTAATACTTCCATTTGGACTGCTAAAGTTATCTTGGTTGTTGCCATGTTGCCCCACAAGTTGAATTGATGCTTCTTCCATATTGACCTCTTCCCAGTCTACTTCATCTTCATCATCAGAGTTCCATTGATCTAAACCAGCATGCATTGGATCGATATCAGTGTCAGTATAAAAATGGCTTTCGTGATCCTGTTGAAAAAATGCTTCTCTTCCGAGTACGCTGTGCCCATCAAAGGAAGCTTCAGATTCTCCTCCATAAAAGCTGATGTTGGAGTCAGTTTCACCAAACAGAGAATCTCCATGATCAAGACTCTCAGTCTCAATATCAGAAAGTGGCCTTCGCCAATTCCTTGGCCAATTCCGAGCAGGTGAATGACTTGCGCGTGAAGGCAAAGTAACGGGTATATCACCATCTTCACCTTGTATCTCGTTATTCTGTCTCACCAAAGTGATCAACTGTGAGAACTGCTGAGAGAACAAATCCTCAATTGATTCTGAACTCCCATACCTGCTGGCTCTACCTCTCCGCAGACTTCTTCGACGAAAATTTCTAATCGGTGGGGTTGCCTCATTATCATCTACAACCAAGGACTTACACTCTCTGCAGATGGATATTGAATCGGACACCTCATTCCCTTCAGTCCCTGGAGTATAGTCTCTTCTACACACTATGCACTGCACTTCTGGATGCTCAGTATGATTAAATGAAGTAGTATGTTCATGTTCTACTGATTGAGGATATCCATAAAACTGCTGGTGGGAATCTGAATCCATCTGGAAAATATGCAGGAGAGTTCAAGGACACATTTTAAGTGGTATAACAAGTTACGGAAAATTTAAGGTATAAAGAAAGGGGAAAAATCGTTACCTCCAAAGGAGCAAGGAAGACGGGGAAAATCGAAGACAAAGTATGAGGCAAGATCAGAATAGGCAACTGGTAATACAGCAAGAACCTGAGAAAGTGATTAAGCCAATCAAATTCATTCTTACTTAAAAAGGCAAAGAGCTCATTAAAGCTTCAGGAATCTGAATCCATCTGCAAAATATGCAGGAGAGTTCAAGGACATATTTTAAATGGTATAACAAGTCACTGAAAATTTAAGAGAAAATGAGAAGAAGAATCGTTACCTTCTAAGGAGCAAGGAAGATAGAGGGAAGATCAAGGTAGGATCAAATGAAGACAAAATTTGAGGCAAGATCAGAATAGGCAACTGGTGATACAGCTAGAACCTGAGAAAGGGATTAAGCCAATCAAATTCATTGTTACTTAAAAAGGCAAAAAAGCAAATTAAAGCTGCAGTGTCATGCATTAATTCCCAATCCAACACTGCATAATTTAAGCAGACATCTCAATCCGAAAATTGATTTCATTTGCCAAAGTAATATTTTACTTCAGAAAGGAGTGTTAATACAAATAAGATAACAGAGACACAGGACTAAATACCACACAAGTATATTGCCCAATTCCAATGAAGTAAAATTAATGTCCTGAGATTCATGCCTGTTAATTCATAACAACACTGAAAAGAGTATGAGAATCAAATACTAAATTAGGAATGATATATGTTCGAGAAATGTCACCACAATCTACACTACTGTTTCACATAGAAAGCTCCTGATCTAGCTGCATGTCAAGAATAAGTGAAACTAAACTTCTTGGCTATAGTTTGTATGCTACACCACATGTTTCTTATGCTTGATAAAGATTTAAGCAAAAATCTTTACAAAACTGTGATGTTCATACTTAATATCACAGACTACATATTTGACTAAAATTTGATACACAATGTGATGCATAAAATATACCCAGTAAGTCCGATGCATAATATGTTTCTTTATGACAGTTTTCAAGAAATTTCAAGTAGAAAGTCATTTCAGCTATAAATTAATTGTTTAAAATGACATTCCACCAATAAAAAGTTCTACTAAATTAGAAAGAAGAAGATTTTTTTATAGTTGTCCAGATGTCTATCCATGTCAAGTTACCCCACTGTACGTGAGCATACTCGTCTTCTTTTTCCTCCATAATTCCAGATGCAAACCTTACAATTGTCAAAATGCAAACGCAATTAGATATAATTATTTTTCTTTTTTTTAACCCCATGAATATTGTTTGCCTTCAAATTTATTTCTAAATTTGTTTTTAAGTTCGTATTCAGTTCATCAAATACAAGTAATTGTCTCTGGAACCCTGTTCCACAAGGTTTGCTAGCAAAGTGATGGTTATTCTTGCAGGAACAGAGCATGGGCAGGTTACAATGAAGGGAGAGCACTAGCTTTCAAGTTGACCACATCTATCAAATTTATCAGCCAACCTACAAAGGGGTGACAAAATTTTGACTTTATGAAAAGCCCAAAGGTAAGGGATTCAAACTTTAGTTAGAAGAATCAACATTTTGTGAGGATCAATGTGGTCATAACTTGATGAACAAAAAGTAAAAGTCAAAACTATGGTGCAATGTTATTCATAAGTCAAAATTATGGTGCAATGTTATTCATCCAAAATGTTAGATGAGGTAATTAGAGAGATGAGTGAATCACAGAACAAGTTCTAAAGAATTAATGCCAATGACAAGCTTCGAGTTTCAAATTACAATAAGAAGCAAATTCATTGTGCCTTATACCAAATATTTATCTTTCTTTAAGTAAAGAGCCCTCATATTTCTCAATAAAAAAAAAACTAAATCAAATTTCACTTAGTTCCAAGGAAGAATTTTCTAAAGGAGCATTTTATGTACATGAAAATGAATATACTATTTCATGTCAAAATGTTTAATGATGTAAAGAACAATTGTGCACGATAATTCATGAGCTTATGCATAGTGTTTCTAGCTCTATCGCAGCTACTTATTTAGGTGTCCAAACTCATCAACTTGTTATTAGTAAAGAAAGACCTAAAATCATGGACACACCACCAATGCCATGCTCAAAGACAAGAAAGTCCATAACTATGAACCTCTCAACTATTTGAATGCAGACAAGGAGTTTCTATCCATAAAAATTGATTCATTTCCCATCTTTCAAAGAAACAAATTGGTTTTGGACTACAGAGGTTGTTTATATTTGACAAAAAATTGCAAAATGTGCCCTTTATTCATGATAAATGACATAGTCAATTACTAAGTAATCTGCGCCTGTACTCCAAACAAATGTGCTTCTTTTTACTTATTTTATTTATTAATTTTTGCAAAAAAAAACCCAATTTAGTAACCTCAGCCAGTGTTCTCTTCTGCAATTGCAACTATATATCAATATTCACGTCCTCAGTTCCAATCAAAACACAATTTTTATGCAAATAAATATTGGAAATTACTCAATTGAGCATCTATACACTAAAGGTAACCCTAATCCACTAAGTTTCTGTGAAATTCCAAAATGAAAAAAATCAAAAGCAAAGAGCTGAAAAAAACCAAACAAAACCGCAGAAATTAGATGATCAAGCGTAAGATTCATTAAATAAATGAAGGTTTATCTACCTTGATACAAATTTCTCCACCTTTAGACCTCGATCCGGAGTCGCAATCGAAACGTCGATCTCCGAACTCAGAGATCGAAGATGAAGGAACTCGAAATGATCTAAAGTTCGCGGGATGTTGGTCGGATTTTGAGATCTAGGGTTTTTAAGCTTCTCACGGTCTTTGGGGAAAATCCCTTCTTTACAGAGGTTATGAAAGACCCAAGGGTCCTTTAGTAATTACAAATGGGATAAAAAGCCTTTAAAATATCAAATATTAAAAATAAAAGATTATAAAAATTTGTAAAAATTAATAAAAAGGATAGGATGTCGTAGAGCACGTGCTAATGATAAGATGGCGTCTGAGGGATAAAAGTCTCTCTCATAACTGGTAGGTGGTAAGCGAGAAAAAAACACTAAAATATTTTCAAGTTATTCTTAATTGCATGATTATTTATGAACATTAGTAAAGATCATTACTTTGTTACCAAAATTATTCTCACAGGGGAAATTCAGACCTTTTTTTTTAATTTTAACTTATTTTTATCTATTATAATGACTAACAAAGAGTTAGGTAAGAACATAACATTAAATATATTGTTTGTATATTATATCAATTATTTTATAATATATCATATTATTATAATATTAATTACTAACATTAAAAATAGTTATAATTAATTAGTAATTATAATATAATATATTATATTTTAGTATAAAGTAAAATAATGTATTATATTATAATTACATACCAAATAATATACTAAACTAAGTAGGTAAATTAATTTAAACTTAATTGATAGATAAATATTGTACTTAAATAAAGTACAACATCATTAATTATTTCACATGAATTGTCAAATCAAAGCACCAAATTGTCTCATTATCCTAAATTGCCTCACTTTACACCACTTAAAATATCCCCAAGGAATAAAATTGTTTCATTAGAACAATTATCCCAACTTATCCCAACCAATAACCCCCTAGTGCTCAATGAGTTGAAATATTGCCAAACAAGTTACCTTTAGGAATTACATACGTCAAGCCAATCAAAGAAACAATCAAAAAGAAAAAAATGAAAAAAAAACGCACATTGATGTCCACCAAATTTAAGAAATAAGTTGTTGAAATAAAATCTTCAATGTCATGATCAAGCCCTATATATCTTTCATATATCATTTATCTAATGTAAAAAAGCTTTTTTTTTTCCCTTCCATCCTTGAGAGATGCAACTCTCTTTCTTCATATAACCACTCACTCTCGCCCATATTTGAACTCTCTTTTATGCACCTGACCCGGTAATTAAAACCTAATTAGAAAAACAATTAGCAAGATTATGATGGAATTAAGCTAGAATGCAAAACTCAATCCCCACGCTCATTGATTGGGCATCCATCCTATGAAGTAGCCGATCTTCAGTGACAATTTCAGAACCAAAGTGCACAGCACAATGCAACATGCAAGGTATCATGAAAGCTCATTCTCTGTAAATTTTCCTTTCGCACTTTTGCGAGCTGAAATTTTGGCAAGGTTCTTAAACATCCAAAATTGACATATTACAGGTAAAAATACACATAAATTTCTCAATTAGAAACAAAATATTTCTACATTGATTTTGACAATGAAGACAATTAATTATTCGAATTACGGTATTTAAGGGATAAAAGGAGGAAGTGGAAAATCATTGACATAGATACAAATTAGGTAATCATTTTAATTTCCAAAGACAAACCTTGTTGTATTAAAGTGCGAAAAAATTAATGCAAGACATTAAACCACATAGACCCTACCATTTTCTCAAGTCACCATTGAGATCTGAGAATACTTCCCTGAGGGTATAAATGTTAGAAATGTGATATATTTACAAAGGATACTTGGATAAGCTTGAGAGATAAAGAACAAAAAAACCCTTACTTATGAGAAATGGATCTCAAAGAACAACCGAGAGAGAGCGAGAGAGAGAGAGTAATGGAAGGATATGATCATCTGAAAACGAAAACAATGAGTCTCGGGGTTCTTGCTGGTAATGTAGGAAGATTGGTCATTTCAAGAAACAGTATAAGTTGTATCTGAGAGCTTGATTACCTTATAAGTTTTTTTGTTTGGTAGAATGTTTATGTTGAGTGTGTATTGAGATATGGGGAGTGCTTTTGTACGAGTAATTTAGAGTTTGATTTCTCGAGTGGGAGTTTCTTTGCACAGGGATGCCTGTAGCTATTATGTACTTAATGCTCATTGGTAATTGGTAATGAATAAAATTTGCTAAAGAAGGGAAAAAAAAGAACAAGAAGGTGTACCTGAGAGAAAATTAAGCAACAAAAAGACCAAACCAAATGACAATCAGTGAAGAGTTTTTGTATTGCTTTTGAATCAAATGTTGGCATTATTGATTAAATTTGAATTATTTATACTTATGCCGCAAAAGGGCCTATTTCATAATGCAAGAGCCTGTTCAAAACTGAGAAAGATTACAATACAAAGAATTTTTTATTAATATCTGAAAAGGAACTGACTTTGAATGATGTTATTCATATCTTTAATATTAGAAAAATCTTATATATATCAATGAGTCAAATTAGCAAACACAAGCATAAAGTGGTGGTTGTAAGTGGAAGTATAGTTTTGTGAAAGGATAGTCTATATGTTTGCATTCCAGATTTGGACAAAGTTAGCTTAAAATGCATCAAAAATGTTAAATTAGGTCCTGGATGAATTGATTATAGCATAATGCAATATTCTACTCAGAGACAAAGTTAGGAATTCATATCATATAATTTAACTTACTCAGATATTTGTGAATTAAATAGAATCCTAACTAGGGACAGTAAAAGATATCCATCAGATTTACTCAAAGTTTCTCCATTTAGAAGATCTTACAGCAAGATAAATTCACTGGTGCTGTCAACTTTCCAAGATGTCAAGGATACAAAATGGTAGTAGATATTTCCTGAGAAATATTCTAAAGGAAAATCTGTGTCCTGCATTGTGATAATTTTCATGTACATTAGCCTGACTTATATTAACTTTATGCATTGAATCAATTGAATGCTTGGATTTTGACAGAGTGTCAAACAATGAATTTGGATTTTCATCATAAAACATTGAATATGTTTGAAGGCATGCTTTAAATAGTTGCATATATTGGACAAGTGCTATCGGTTCACATAAAATTTGAGCTGGTGCAAGTTGTATTCACTAATTAGCATCCTTTTCCATAACATGCTTAAGCATAATACAGACTAGTAGAAAATGAGAAAGAAAAAAAATCTTATATAAATTAAAAAACAAAATGTCCATGGCACACAGGAGTTACTGATATCAAATCCCTTGATTTTATTGGAATAAATACTTGACATCCCTAAATTTTGAGGTGAGTAGATACCACAATGTAGTATAATTTCAAATGGAGTAGGATATTGTATGCCTCGCATCGTTCACATCGCTACATTTAGAGTGGAATGACTATTTTACCCTTGTACTAAACGACATCGCCAAGCACAACATGTTATGTTATATTGTCAATAATCAAGTGATTAACATAAAAAGTAAAAATAGGATTAAAATTGTAAAATTCCTCTCTTCTGAAACCCTAAGTTTATTTCCTTTCCGATTCTCCTCTTCTTTTCGCTCTTCATACCAAATTTACTAAATCTAAATGTATGTGATTTTTTCCGGTAGAGGGGTCTCAACATAGATCGGTTCAGAACTATTAGTAGGTCGTAATGGAGTTCCATTTGCAAAATTAGGGATTCACTCATGTGGAAGGTCATCTCCCGTTCTAATCACATTTCTAGTTTGCTTGTTTTTTCGATCTTGCGTTTTTCTAATTTCTTGTTATATGTTTATTTATTCAGTGAAAATTTTTCCCTTTGTTCACTTTCACTTCATGTTACTTTCAGCAGCTTGGAGAATTGACATTCTTTTAGGCACAAAAGCTCTCCTTCATTATTAGTATCTTGATATATGAAAGTTGGGAGCATTTGAGGAATATTGAGTTCTTTACATCAGATGGTGATTTTTTACTCTTTTTGAATGAAAACATTTATGTTAAGTATCTAATAGATAGGAATTGGTTTGTAGTTAGCTACACGTTTAACATTAGGATGTTTCCCAAATTCTGATGAAATTAATTTGGGACATGGATGTATGGTAACTCTTGTGATCATTCTCAATGTTTAATATTTATGTAATAAAATTTCTTCATTTATTCTCTTTCTCATTATTTTTCCATTTACTAGAACACTTCTCTCTCTGTCTAGTATAACTTCAATGATGTTATTAAATTCTCATTATTGTCTAGATATTAGACATGCTAGGTTTTCAGCTGTCCACAAAATGCATTGGATTATGTACCATATAAGCAAGAAATAATAAATAATTCTTGCTCTTTTTCTATTCACAAATGTAATAACTATGATCCAACCTAATTATCAGAATAGCTAAACTTAGAAAATTTACCCTCCTTTAGATAATTTATACATTATTATAGCAATTGAAAGCAATGGCTTAATATGGATATATTTCTCATTGAGAATTGGGAAAACATGATAAAAATTTCTATGTAACAAACTAATTGATAGCCTTGCTGTCAATATCAATATTTTACTCATTAATATGTGATTAATCTTTCCCCTATCAGTAACAGCACCTTCATTTCTATACATAAACAATAATAGTTTGGTAACATTTTTATGTCTAACCCTTAATGTTCTCTCCATATAGTTCCTTCTTGACATCAAATATTCTTACTATTGGAGTTCACATTCAATTTACACCTATAGTTTTGTTATTTATAAATAGAAGCTCTCAGGTACTTAATTCCTTGAGAGATACAAATATTTTACATTCCTCTGACATGCATTCCCTTGAATGAAATATTTTATACAACAAAGAAAATTTTCTTTGTTCTCAAGTTTACAACTCAAAGAATCTACACTTGTGATTACATACTGCATAAAGTCAACCTGCCAGGATCTAAGGATTTGCAAATTCATATAATGGTGTCACTAAGGTAAGTTTCTGATATCACTCAATCAGAAAATCCAAAACGTTTCGTGGCCCTCATATATAAGTTCATGCATAGTAGCATTCACATACAAATAATAATATTTTCATGTCAAGGATTGGCTCGTCTTATTAATATCTGCAACCCTTATTTTCTATTAAGGAGAAAAAAGTTTAAGGAGATGGCAGAGGGTGATAAAAAAAGGAGAAGTTCTCGATTATTAGCTCTTGAAGAGACGAAATGTGAAAGGGCAGTTCTCGCATTACCTGTAGATTTTCGACAGAAGAAGGTTGATGGCCGTTCAAATTTGCAAAAGCGAGGAAGGAAAAGAATCAGAGGAATTGAAGGGGTATTCTATCTTTCTTGATTCGATTGGATTCAAGTACATAAATAAAATGTCTATGAATGTAGTACACACATTATCGGTGCAGTGCACATAATTCAAGTTATAAATTTGCAGGAAGTTCAAGGCTTGCAGGATGTTGGTTTGAAAATTAATGGTAAAATAATCTTAGACTAGTTTTTTGTACTTCTAATAATTTTGAATACTTAGTTTGTTTCATACAACAGGAAATTTACTGAACAGTACAGTATCATCGCGCAATGCAACTGACAGGATCATTGGATACATTCTTGATATGCTGGAAGTGTAAGTTGCATTCTTGACAAGCTCAGTTGACATTATAAATGATAACTGTACTGTCTTGAAATATTTGAAATTTGTGTTGCAGAAAAGACACACATGAATTGTTCTCTATGCCCGACAACCTCCAGGTATACTTGTAAACAATTAGCCAAGACCGTATCAGTCAATATATGAGAAACTTTACTCTCTTCCTAAACAATAGTTTCTTTTGCCTACAGACTTATGATTATGAAGAAAGTATGAAACAACCTGGTGACTTTGCAACACTAAGACAAAAATACACTGATAAAATGTACGCGACATTGGATCATTTTGAGGTCAGTTGATTAAGTTTCAAGTATTGAAATTGAAATTGTATTAATAAAAACTAACTGTTATCCCCCAAAATGTTTGTTGCAGAATGATGTTTTGACAGTATTCCATAAGGCAATTGACTCAAATGCTCCAAACTCCATCCCTTTTCGAGAGGTAATCCATGTGATCACATACCAAAAAATACCAACTTTTCTTTTCAGAGAACTAAAACTAACTAAAACTGTAACTTTTTCAGGCAATGACTTTAAGAGATCATGCAAAGCAAATTTTCCAATCTCTAAAAAATAATCTTGCATATGCGGAATTGGAACTGTCAGAATGGCATCAGCATTATTTTAGATATAAAAGAAGAGCATTAAGAAGTGATTCAAACATTGGGAATTCAAGTACTGCACCTCAACGAGAGTATAATGCCCGTGTTTCTGTTTCCACGGGCATAAAACAACATATAGGAACAAGCAATTCTGCAGGTGTTAGGAGAAATGTACAGTCAACATCCAGCTCGAGGGCCAGAAATCAAAGAGGTACGAAATATTTCATTGGCTGTTTTTTTGAACTTACTACCCTGCAGTCTCATTCTTGCAGAGAAACCCTCTTAAAGTTCAAAATTTTTGCCTCTTATACCATCAGATAGATTCAATAATTTCACCCATGAATGATATTGGGCATAATTTCACCAAGGGTGAAATAGTCAAGAGACAATTAACCCAGGGAATTTATCTGCAACAATGAAACGACAGGGTCGCGAAACAACAATAGCAAAGGGGGACTATATGCAATTACCCTTTATTTAAAGTATTGATTGCCTCTTGCAGCTACTCACAGAGAACATGAACAACATCCACAACTCCCAGAAGAGCAACGAAGATACACTTACAAGCCTGGGAACGACTCAAAGGAGTCATTGTTTACAATGTTTTGCAACGAACCTAAAACTATTGTTTATGTAAGTCCTACTCTAGTTATGTTATTTCCCATGTTTCTTTATTGATTCTTCCTTGTGTAGGGAGGTTTATGTTATGCAGTTATAAGTTTATGTAAGTTTACATATATGTGAACTATGATGAGTGTAGATACATAAAAATATTTTTCACAATGTGCATAGACCCCTCGTACTATTGCCCAATTGTGGATAAACCCCTCCAGTTCTATAGTTGCAGACCGACCCCTGAGAATCTTTTTCGCTCTTTTACCATCAGAGAAAGAGGCTTCCCCCCCACAAATAGACCTCCTGATGGTAAAAGTGTCAAAGAAATTTCACTCAAGGGTTCTATCTGCAGTTGAGCGATAATACAGGGGTCTACGTGCACCAATAGAACTACAAGGGGTCTATCTGCAATTGGGCGGTAGTGCAAGGGGTCTATCCACAACTAACCGTTTCATGTATCTTTATCATGGTGTCCATTACTTCTTATTTTCTGCAGTCAAGCTGCACAGTTTCAGATACACACAGTAGAATTTATTACCATAAAACGAAAATATGCACCTTTGAATATAATCTCTAAAGATTTTATATACAAGCTCATGATGTTATTAATAATGGTATTATCATGACTTTCAGGAATATGTTCTGAAGACGTAAGTCGACTTATTTGTATACCAAGAAAAACTTCTAATTAACACAAGTTTCAATCTCATGTTAAGTACATGACTTCAATAAATTATTATAAGATACAAGTAAACCCACAATAAAACTAATTAAATGTTAATTAGCAAAATTTCCAGTCTAACAATTCACAAAATTATGTCCTACTTTTTTTTCAGAACAACAGCACTCTGAGCTACCAAGAGAGCCTTCGACAATTTGTGAAGGATGCAGGTCCAGCAGCAAAACTCATCGCAGAAAACAAATGCCACGAGTATTATAAACGAGTACAAGCCCAGTCTATTTGGAGACCGTCCCCCTTTGGCACTCAGAGCAAAATCGGCGCTCAGCATATTCTCAGCCAAAATATCGGTTCTTCAAGCTCATCAGCTCCAAATAACGACAATCCAAATTCAACAAGTATCAATGATCAAAATGCTTCCAACAGAACGCAGCATCAAGCCTGTCAACTTCACACTGATGAGCTATTGACACTGTTCTCTTTAATAGGAACACCAGAATTTTCGCAGAGAAGCTCGGCATCAAGTTCGAAAGAAGAAGTGAACAAATCTTCAATCATTAATGATTCAGTAATCTGGCAACCGAGATCTGGGGGTTCCAAGTCTTGGAAAGAGGACGAGAGAGAGGGTTCATCTAATGTTAGTGCAGGTCTCTACCAGAACAAGAGACATGGATTACCACCGAAACCACCGACCAATCTTAACATGTTTCATGGAAAAAAGTAGGTGGTTTACAATTAATTTGGAACTGTTACTCTTGTAAAAGCATCATGGGTGAAGATATGAACTTAAACTATAAGTCATTAACTTTTTGTAAGAAATGAAGTATCGTTGAACTTTACATGAGCAAATTACTAGTCTTGAAGAACTACATTGTTTGTCCCTTTTTTCACTTACGACATGATTATAATAGCTGTTAAGCACGCACACTTTATCACGATGCTTCCCATAAGTTCGATTCTAGGTTTTAAAAAAGTTTCAAATATCAAAATATATTTTCTATCAGGTTTGCATTTTATCTTTTCTGCTCCTAATTCTGTGATGAAATCAAATATATTTGCTGTATTCAGCTTCATTCTTCTAATTGATGAATAGGGTGGAACTTTCCCATCTTTTAGCCAAAAAAAAAAGCCATTTAGTATCGAGAGAAATTATGCACAGGTCACTGTCTACGGCATTAATAGTGCACCAAGAAATTTATAACGCTATACCTTCCAATAGAAGTATACATATGCGGAGTTAA